TGGCTTATAACCAATTCATGCTGACTGTTAACAGTAATAAACAAGTAAGCTTTTATTATATTTCTGGTTTCATTTTTCTTTGCACTTAGGGCACGATTGCTCTATAATACCCATATCTAGTTAAAGCATTCACCAGCCAATTAATGTATGGGTTACATGAGTGACCGGTCACTCTTAGTGCTGCTCTGATTGCATTCCCCATACTGCAACGTGTAACATCTGCCCTCAGTGTTTAACACCAGGACTTGTGTCCTAGCTGGGCTGTCTGCTCTCAGGTAATGTGATGTATTTAGGCACTCAGTGTTGACATCGAGGGAGCATCTCCACTTCCTGCAGGGAGCAGGAGGCCCGAGAGCAGCTGCCTGAATGAAAGCAAGCCTGGCTTTTCAGCCCTGTCCTGCACCTCCGGCTGTGCTATGACGTACCTGAAGCATCATTTGTCTCTCACCTTCTGCATCCGTTTTCTCTCACAGAAGCAGCGGGTGTCAAGCAGTGTGGATTGTGCATTCTTCGCTGTCTTCTGCAAGCTCTTCCTTGGCTTCCTCAGTGTTGCTGCATCTTGTTTAGGATGTAGGAAGATGGGGACCTGAGTGTAAGGGCTGCCTGAGGGGGGGCAAAGGGAAATAGGAATCAGTGACTGTGCAGCCTGCAGCTGGCTGCCTCTTGGTTTCCTCTTCTCACCTGGAAAGGACTCGGTGAGTCCTGAGCTGTTCACTCCTCTGAACCACAAGTCACAGCAGCTGCCATCAGCATGCCCAGTGTTAGCAGGCATAGATCCACACAGGCACCAGTCCCTTGGCTACAATGTTGAGTGCTTAGTCTGCAGCACTCCATGGCACAGAGGTGCCTCTAGGTGTTGGGGTGACCCAGAACTCGCCCACTGCTACATTCTTTGTAATAGGCTGTTTACAGACACTAGAAGGTGATGCCTTCCCCCCGATGAGCCTCTGGCAGAACCCACTACAACTGTTTGAGTCAGCTTCTCACCCTGGGAGGGTTTTGAGCTGAATGAACTCCCAAGCTCTGCTCCAGCTCCTTTTAGTGTGATCCTCCTGGAAATTACCTTGGGAAAGGTTTGCTAATGCAGGGCTGACCCTGAGCCTTGCTGAACCCAGTACCAGAAGCACTTTGGGAGAAGGCCACATGCCAGGAGGGAACAGAGAACCTGTGGCAAATGCCTCACTTGAGTTGTCACCCTCACAGATCCAGTGACTTCCCTTTTGGACGGTGGGAGTGATAGTGTCAAGCCATACCTTTGTGGCTCTTTGTGTGAGCTGCTGCCTTCTTTTTGTTCCCAGCTGAGTCACGGGCAGTGCTTGCAAAGGAAGGTGTAGTAGGGTAAACCACCTCTTTCCAAATCTTTCTGCCACACTTGAAGGCGTCATCATCCATCCAGTTTTTCTGGTCCCTAAGCTTCCTCTGGTAGTGACTAGAAGACAAAAGAGGGCGTCCTTGTCCCATGAAACACAGCCCAAGGCCTCACTCAGCACTGGCTGCTGTGCACCTGCATATCTGGGAAGACCTGGTTCATGTGAGGCTATATTAAACTGCAAAGGATATTAAACTGTGTGATAGACACAATTTATGGTGGCATTTACAGCAGTCTTTGTAGAGCAGGTGTCTGAGCTATGCAGGTGCATGTCCAAGTAGATACAAAACGTTTCTGGAGATCCAGTCTTTTGTTTTATAAGGCACAAATCTCCCAGTAAAGAGGGATCTCCCTCATCTATCTCACAGAGCTAAGGAAGCTCACCTGATAATGTCAAACAGAGTTTTCTGGGGCAGAGCTGCCAACTCCACCAGCTTCAAGAAGACTTCTAAGAAGAGCATTCCTCTGTCACTGGCAGAAGTGAAGCTGCTTGAGTGATTTTCCCAAGATGCTGGAGGGGAAGAGAGTGGTCAGAGCTGTGACTGAGCCTTGTCTTAACCTTCACAGAGCTCAAAAGGAGCCAAGACCATAGCAGCTCCCAGGGAAGTCTGGACAAGTTATGTCATGGGGATCCATCCCCTTTATCTGTGAGTACTGGTTAGGTATCTAGCAGGTAGGACAATTCCCTTAAGCTTATGATTAGCTAAAGAAGGTGAGATCTGCTCCTTCTGTGTCCCATCTTGTAAGAAGAGTTTGGCCTCTGCTCTTGCAGCCAGGAACATCTGGACCGAATGCTGGATTCCTGCCCCTGTCCCTGAGACTGGCAAGCCACGGGGGCAGGGCTAACCCTGAGCTGGCCTGTCGTGGCCCATTGAACTATTGCTGTCTTGTCTGAATAGAGCACCCTTCGTTTCTTTGGGTCCCAGCTGCTCAGTAAATACCAGTGGAGCAGGATGTCTTTTACATACTGTCTGGGTGAAACACATCTTGTCAGTAGCACTGTCTAGGGAGTCAGAGAAATCCAGTGGTCTGTCTCCTGCAGGCAAGTGGCATCTCTGTTAGCAGAGCAGGGTTTTGCTGTAACGCAGTGCTGGGGCGGGCAGCTCAGAGCTGGTGCCACACAAAGATTTGCTACTAGAATCTAAGAGTAGGGAAAAAGCTGTTCAAGCTTTCCACTTGTAACTGGGTCATTACTGGGTCCACTTGTAACTTCAGCATGCATAAAGAGTTCCAAAAGTGCAACGTGTAGCCATGAAAGCTAATCCCTGGTAAATACGAAAATACAGCAGCCCAGCTACAGCAAACATCTGAGTACAGTATTGCCCTGGGCAATGGGAAGGCACATGGAGGAGGATTGGTTTGCACACTCAGAAGTTGACTTGGAACAACCCACAAGAGAGTAATGTGTGGTCTGGTGCACTCCTCCTCAGCATCTGCACACACCAGTTCATTGTACACCTCTTGACTGGTTAAGCTAAAGGGCTTTTTTAAGGGAGTTTTGTTTGTGTCTTTATGGATATCAAGGCCAGGTTGGACAGGGCTTTGGAGCAAGCTGCTTTAGTGGAAGGTGTCCCTGCCCATGGCAGGGGTTGGAACTGGATGAGCTTTAAAATCCTTTCCAACACAAACCAGTCTATTATTCTAAGCCTAGTGGTCACCTCCAGACTGTGAGGTTTAATATTGCCACCTGGGTCTTTGGGGAATAAGTTGAAAGCATCAGAGGATGCTGAGAGGACAGTGAATTAAATGAGCCAGAGGGAGGCACTGCTTGTATTATATTTGTTTGGAAACCATGAACTTTAACCACTGGGGATTTGGTACTGGGATTGAGGTGGGTTGTTTCTTATGGCCAGTGGCAAAGCATCAGCCTCTAAACAGTTATTGAGGGGGAGTTGGAAAACTTGGTCAGAGGAAAGGTGAAGCTGTATTTAACCTGAGGCACTGGTTGAGGTGGTTGGTTTGTTTCTAGCTCTGTCAAAAAGGGTATTGATGGTTCCTTCAGTCACTGGGACCCCAAATCCTTAGCACAGGGGATTGTCCCTTCCTTTTTGTACTCTGGTTATTGTCTCAGGAGGATTGTGCAATGCTGCAGGGCCAAGCTGAAGGTCAAACCACTCTTGGCTGTGTTGGCAACAGGCCTTCCAAGCCCGTAACAAAGGGACATTACCTTTCTGTTGTTTCCTTGTCATGTTCTTTGCTGCTTTGCACTCAGTTCCCTGCTGAGGGGTACGTGAGAGGTCCCTGCCACACACACAGAGGCACAAAGAGAGATGGACAGATTGACAACTGAGAGGCATGCAAGAGACAACAGGTCCTGCTGATGGAGCTGGAGCAAGCAATGCAGGTGCCAGTCCTTCTCCCAGCCCAAAGGGCCAGACAGTGCTGGAAGCACTGCCAGAGAAGAGCTCACCACCCAGCTCCATGCTTACAGAAATGGGAGTGAAACAGTGTGGCACCTCAAGGCTGCACAGAAATGATAATGGGATCTCCACTGTCTTCCCCAGTTCAGGCCAGCTTTGACAGAGAGCAGCTGTGGCCACCCTGGTGTGTGTGGGGAAGCAGGAGCATCAGCCAGGAGGTAGCGGCCCTGGAAACCTCCCTTGACCACACTGCAATGGTGGATGAGCCAAGCTTTGTGACCCATAGCCCTTGTTAGGGCTGGTGCTCAGAAGCCTGGCCCAATCCAGCACCATGCCTCAGCATTTCTTCTCTAGACTGATAATGCTGACACACACAGCACTGTAGAGATGTGGGTGAAGGCAGGACTCCTGCATGTGATCACAGAACAGATGAGGGACAGCAGCATTTCCAAACACCCAGTTTCCCCCTTCATGCTCACCACACTGGCTTCTTTGGGAGAGGTTTTACCACCCTCTTCATTGGCACAGGCTTTGTCATCGCACTGGTTTTGGAAGTCCAGACAGGAGAAGCAGCAGCTGTTTCTGGATGTGGAAAGACAAATAAGGGGAGAGTCTCACAGGCTTCCCATCAGGCAGGACTCTCCGCTGTAGCCATCACCAGGAGAGCTGGAAGGACCCTGTGATGACACCTCTCCCTGTTTTATGCTGCTGCAGCATTAACTCACCGTCTCTTCATGCTCATGGACAGCAGGCTGTCCAGCAATGGAAACCCTGTGCCCTCCCAAGCCTTCCCTGTCCTCTGCTCATGGTAGCCAAAGGCTGACTAGTCACAGGAGGGGATTAACATCACACCAAGCTCTCTGTCACAGATACTGTCCTTCATCTGCTAATCCAGCACCTGCTCTGGCTGGCAGACATGAGGCAAGAACTGGCTCCACATGGGAGGCTGGTTTGGAGGCCTCCAGGGGCTCCTTGCCACCAGTATTTTTACGATGCACTTACCATTCATTTTTGCCTTTTTCAGCTCCTTTGGGTCTGGATGGATCTCTGGGATGGACAGGATGGAGCCCTCACTGATGGCAGCAACTTTGTCCTCTAGGAAAATCAAAAAGCCCCTCTGAGAGTTGTTTTCCTTCTAAGGAAAGGAAGAAAAACAGCACTCAAGATTCCTTTTAAGGGAATCAGTTGCCTTGTGTAGCTTCTGTGTTAACATCATGTCCTTGTCATCTGAGAAGCACCAGTACAGGCATGCACAAGGCTTTTAGCTCATCTGCTTCCAGAGATTTCTAAGTTTCTTCCAAAGAAAAAGACCTGCCCTTACCTCCCATGTGTCCTGAGTTTTCTAGCCTCTCAGTGCTGGTCAGGACCTTGCTGGTGATAGATTCCAGGATGGACTCTATGTCCTCGGTGTCATCTTTGTACTCTAAGGTAGGGTCTGGGGAATATTCGGGTGGAGTAGGGCATCTCTCCAGCAGCAAGGCCTGGTTCTCCATGAAGATGTCAGGCTCTGACAATGGCAGAGGAAGGGCAGCCAGAGAGGCATCATCCACAGCAGCAAGACACAGCAAGTCCTCTGGCTCTGAGATGTAGTTCACCACTGTGGCCAGGTCAGAGCTCAGATTCTTCTCAGTGTCTGTCCCCTCTGTAACAAGAAAGGGTTGGAAAGCTGCTCTGCATGCTGGCACAGAGACACTTGGCAAAAATAGTTATTAATAATTATAGAGGCTCCTTTGCCTTTCACCTACCCTTTCCCTCTCAGGATCTAAAGGACTGTAGCCACAATAATGCAGTGAAACTCCCTCCCCTCAGGCAGGGTGGGATGCTGAGGCCAAGAAGGATTAAATTCCCTTTCCATGGCCATTCATCTCCCATCACGTCCCTCCATGCTGCACCACATGTGCAGGCTCTAAGCACAGCCCCCCTCTTTGATACGCTGAGGGGTGGCATTTCTATCTTGCCAAGACACAAGTCCCACTATGTGCCAAATAAATCAAAGTCAAAACTCAACACAAGACTACAGTGAGGGGAGAAAGGGAGAGGATTTAAGCTCTGAGTGCATGGTGTAGCCCATGCCTCACAGCCTCCCCTTGCTCCTGGCACTGGGATGGTGGCTGTAGGGACCACAGAGGAGCAGGGAGCAAGGCAGGGAAACGGTGGTCCCCATCTGTGATGTGTTCTAGGACTTCCAGCAGCTCCTCGCTGGCTGAGGGGACCTCTGTGATGCCCACCTTGGAATCTGCAGCATGGATGTCAGCTGTGTCCCCTGGGATATCTGGGAAGATGAGGCTTAGTCAATGGGGAAAGTGGGTTTGAGGAAGGGGAGCCCAAAATACAAGAATCTGCAGGGCTGCAGCTTTAAATGTCTCACCAAGAGGGCAGTTTATAAGACTGAGACATCTCATATCCACACAGGATTTGGTGATTTTAGAGAATCTCACCCCAAAACTGCTTCCCAAATCAGGGCCTTTTTGGCTGGAGTGCCAGCCTTTCCCCAGAGCATGACACTGTCATCCCAGGCTAACCCTGACTCCTTTACAGCCCTGGAAGTCCTATAAAGGGTAAATCCCAGAGCAACCCAGTTTCATCTCACAGCTGACCCAGCTTTGGACTTGAGGCCTCTTGAAGTCCCTTCCAACCTCAATTATCCTGTGGTTTTGTGTCCTGGGAAATGTCAGCATTTTGGTTTTTAATTCCAGCTTTTTCTTGGTCCTCAAGTCTTACTCCTCCTGCCCAGTGGATGCTCCAGATCCTGAACAATCCCGAGGTGCTGGTACACTCACCATCCACAGCCACATCCTCCAGTGCCTCCTGTTGATCCTGGCCTGGTAAGCGGGTTTCCTCTGGGGGTAGCTGATCCTGGTCTGGAAAGTGGATTTCCTCTGGAAAGTGGATTTCCTCTGGGGATAGCTGATCCTGGTCTGCTGAATGGATTTCCTCTGGGGATAGCTGATCCTGGTCTGCTGAATGGATTTCCTCTGGGGATAGCTGATCCTGGTCTGCTGAATGGATTTCCTCTGGGGATAGCTGATCCTGGTCTGCTGAATGGATTTCCTCTGGGGATAGCTGATCCTGGTCTGCTGAATGGATTTCCTCTGGGGATAGCTGATCCTGGTCTGCTAAGTGGATTTCCTCTGGGGGTAGCTGATCCTGGTCTAGTAAGTGGATTTCCTCTGGCAGTAGTTGAGGCTTCACCTCTCCAATGCTGTCCCACTTCCCTAGACCCAATGGGGAGATATGTTTCATTTCAGAAAGTTTCCTAAAGACCTGGAAAACACAATTCTGGCTTGTGGAGGGGATAGAAGACACCTTAAATCATCTCCTTGCTGCAGCATGAAACGCTTTGCTCACTCCTGGATTTATTACCAGAGATCAGTTTATAGGATGTATGAATGGGTTCCAAGAAGAGGAAGCACTTCAGTGCTTTCAGAAGTAAAAGTAGCATCAAAAGGAACCCTGGCCCGAAGTGCTGCTGCAGGAGCTGTGTCTGTGGGGTGGTTTGAGGGCTGTCCCCACAGCTGGAAACCTCCATGGGGGAAATTTCCCCTGGGGATCTCCATCCCCTGTGGGAGATGATCAGAAAACAGCCCAGAAAGGTGCCCAAGCCCGTACAGACATCACCATCTAGTGGTCCCTAACACCAGCAGCCTCAACGCAGCCCAAAACGTGCAGGTTCAGCAGGGTTGGAATTATTACTGCTTGCAAATGTAGCTGAGAGCAACCACTGCCTTCCCCACCCACCCCAGGAGGTACCTCTGGTTGCTCACGCTTCTTTATGCTGCCCAACAGTGACACAGCCCTGGGTTTCTGGGATAAAGCCACTCTAGGAGCTGGTCTTCATGGTCCTGCAAGCAGCCCTGCTCACTGCCATCAAGGGGCAGTGAACTTGAGCTAAACAGGGGTCTTGCCTCTTCCCACAGCTCAGTGGGAAATGGGGATCTTCTGCCTGAACCGCACACATGGCATCACACTGGTTTCTCCACCATCATCGAGGTGGGACAAAGGATTTCAGAGGAGCAAACACAGTTGAAATGGATGGGGAGGAGCAGAGTTACCTTCTGGCTCCAGCACAGCCTCATCCTGCTTTCCTCTCACCTCACTGTACTGCCTCACGCTCACGCTGGACATTTTCTTCCTACTAAGGGAGCAGACAAGGGGCAAGTGTGAGATGTCCCTCTGCCTTGGGGACCCAGATCACCCCGAGAGAGCCTCAAGGGTGGGACTGGCTCAACCTGAGATGGTCCCTTCGTTACCTGTCCTGGGTTGTGACAGCTGTCCTAGGGATGCTGGGGGCTCTGGGCTGTGATGCATAGGAAGTGCTCCCCTTGATATTGCTGACCACTGGGACTTGCTGCTGCGGCTGGTCCTGGCTTTCACTTGTGGTCTTCTGTTTCTTCTTCTTCTTGTTCCACAGCAGCCGTTCAGTTGGTAACAGGTTGAAGGAAGAGGGGGTCTGGGGGCAGGTACACCCGCACCATCAAACACTGCCTGAGCATAGGCTGAGCCCAGGGAGGGGGATGAGAGGGGCCCATCAGCCTCTATCTGGTGGGCCTGTGGAGGGTCCCAATTCCTGTGTAGGTGTCCACCCCAAGCTGGGCCACATCAGGATGCTCAGCAGCAGTCAGATCCATCTCCAGACCAAATCCTTGCCTGTGCTTCCCAGGATAATATACAGACATACAGCCCCTGGCATGACCCAGCTGCATCCCTGGGGATGAGGGCTGTGTGTGCGGGTGATGGGCACATAGTTTTGGGGTGCGGGCATCCTGCCAAAAGAGCTCATGTGGATGTGTGGGGCCCAGTACTGCTCACCCTCACCTGCGTTGCCTTATGTTCTCCTGACACATTCTTCCTGTGTGTCACCTGCCTAGGTGGATAACTCTCAACCATCAACAGCAACCAGTATTGACCAGAGTCTCTGCAATATTGACAACATTCTCCATCACCCTCCCCTTACGCCCTGCAGCTTTTCTGCCTTTCAGACAAGCAGGGAACATAAGGAGACTGAAACACAGCAAATGTGGGCTCCCTCCATCCAAGGAGGCACCCCCTCACTCACACAGAGGTCCCACTGGATGTGGAAGCCCTTCTGGATGTGGAGGTCCTGCTGGATATGGATTTCTTGCCCAGTGAGGATTTCTTGCTGCATTTGGAAGTCCTGCTGGAGATCTTGCCGTGATTGTGGACATCAGCCGGCGTGGGGCCTGGTGGGGCTTCCGAGCACACAGATGAATCCTGACTAGCCTGAATTTCTGTTAAGCTATCTTGTGATGCCTGTGGCAGGGCCTCAATGGCTACAGGCTCATGGGAATCCAGTGGCTTGCTGGAATCCATCCCCTCCTCAACCCAGCCCTGTTGTAACAGGGACTTCAACCCTTTTCTGGTCCCCTGCAGCACCCTGTGTTCTGCCTGATGTCACAGAGCGCCTGGTAATACCAGCAACATTCCGAGGCTCAGCTCTGCACCACCAGCAAGCTGGGATAGGGTGTGATGGGGCACAGTGGGATACCTGGGGCGCAGGGAGGCACAGGGATGGGGACAACATCCTACCCATAACCCTGCGCAGGATCAGCCCCTGTGCAGGCTGGATGCATCCTATGGGAAGGACTGGGCTCAATGGGTGCAGCTCCCAGAGTGGGTGACTGCTCTGCACCCCAGGGTGACCCACAAGCTCTGCAGCATCATGGCGTGGGGACCCAAACCAAGTGCTGCTTCAGGGCAAGCACAGAGGAATCGAGTGAAACTCCTGCACCCCAAACTCCCACTCAGCCAGCCAGCTCGGTGGTCTCATCCTGCTCCTTTGTGTTGTAGCCTTGAGGATCCCTTTGCCTTCCCCTCAGCCTACCCTGCAGTTGAAGTGCTTCTCCTGGGGGCAAATCCAACCCAATCCAACCCCAGAGCACACCTGGGTGCTGGGACGCCCTCCTCACCCCCCAGTGCAGCCGCGGGCACCGGGTGCTGCCCTGAGCACCCTGCACCCTGTGGTCCAGGGGGCGGGCTGAGGGGGGAGCAGAGAACCAGGCAAAATGCTGCTGTGAAGAGTGGCCGCTGGGTGTCCCCGCAGCCCCGTGCCCAGCTTTCAGAGAGCCACCACAGCACCGCAGCCTGGTTTGGGTTGAAGGGACCTTAAAGCTCCTCCAGCTCTAGCCCCTGCCACGGGCAGGGACCCCTTCCACTGGAGCAGCTTGCTCCAAGCCCCTGTGTCCAACCTGGCCTTGAACACTGCCACAGCTTCTCTGGGCACCCTGTGCCAGCGCCTCAGCACCCTCACAGGGAAGAGCTTGTGGCTAAGAGCTCATCTCAGTCTCCCCTCTGGCAGGTTAAAGCTGTTAAATTATAGCAAGGAATAAAGAAAGCAAAATAAACCCCCCCAAACAACCACTGGAAGGAAATGTTGACCATCACCTGAATGTGTTCTCTGAAGGGCTGGAACTACTCCTAGGAACAAACTCATTCCAAGCATTACTAAGCATTCAAGCATTACTAAGAGCAGCATTTTCCTCTTCCAAAAGCCACTGATAGTTCTCATACACTCAGCAGGCAGGTGGTGGTGCTGCTCTCCTCCACCATACACCCTGGCTGGGAGCACTTAGCGCATCTTTGGGTTCACTTAGCCCATAATAAGTGAAACAAAAAGGAGCCTTACAGGAGGCTTTGCTCTCCCCAGGAGCCACAATTCACCCTCAGCCTGCTGTGTGTGACATCTTTTATTGTATCGAGGGTTATTTCCATGGTGTGAATCGCTGCTGCTCCGGTGCTGCCCATCCAACCCCAGCCCCTGCTCCCACACAGCCAGGGAGCAGGGACACAGCCACCACCAGCTCAGGCAATTGGGGCCCTCGGGACCAGTCCCACACCAGGCACTGATGCTTTTTGGTGCAAAGGGGATGAAGCTACCCCTTAGAGCCGCTGTGCTCTCCCTGGGGCAGGGCAGCAGCACTGTTACAGCAAACTCTGCTATCAGGACATTGCTTTGTTTCTCCCAACAGGACAACAGAGCTCCAGGCAGCAGGACACGACCTGAATGGTGCCTGCTCCTCTAGAACCAGAAAACCAAGCTTGGTGCAGTTATGCAGCCCAAAAAGCACAGCAAAGGAAGAAAGGTGGCCAGGCTCAGGGGACAATGGGCAGCACAGCGTTCCTGAGGCTGCTGCCTGTGCACCTGCATGAGTTGTGGCATGAAGACAGTGGCGGGGGACATGGGGAGCTTAGCACCAGCCCAGGGGCTGCAGCTGGGACCAGCACAGCTGATGCTACATAAAGTTGGGCGATGGTGGAACATGAAAGGAAGGGTACCATGATGCTGGGGCGCTGCTTTACACCATCCTGGGCCAGAGTATTACCAGAAACACAGGGCTGGTGGGTTGCTCGAGCAGTGTCCTCAACCCACAAAGCCAAGGGATGGCTCCTGTGCCTAAGGGCTCCACATCTGTCCAGTTCACGAAGGGATGCTTGGAGCAATCAGAGCTTCACCAGCAGGAGATCACAGCTCAGCACTTAGTTTGAGCATCTGCTCATGAAATCCACCTGGCCCAATGAGCACCAAAGGGTTGACAAACTGGCCAGGCAGACAAAGTCCCGTTTCTCCGTGTTCAGTGTATGGAGGGGCCGCCGGGTCCTGCGGGGCGACCCACCGAGGTAAGGACGAGAGGTTTGCCATGGAAAGCACATCCCTGCGGTTACAGGGCTCTGGAGGCAGTTGAGGGGTTGTTAAATTACACACAGACATTCACACCCACACAGAAACACACTCGAGCTCTTCTGTAAACTGGACTCCAACAGAGCACACAGGGTGATCCCATGGCAGCGCTGGATGCGGCATCCTCAGTTCCCGCGGTACGTGATGTTGGTGAAGGTAGATGTAGCCTCTTTATATAAAGGGTTGTGGCCCTGGAAGAAGGAGGAGTAGAAAGGACATCATCATTTTGTGCTTGGCATCAGCATTCATTCTATTTTACAGCTGGGAAAACTGAGGCACCAGGTCAGCATTGAGTGGTTAATCCATATCTCCACTCAAGGCTTCAGCCCATAAGGTTTCATGGGGGAGAGCAGGGAGAAGCTGCTGTGGAGGTGGAGAAAGGCAGCAGGAGCTGCGGAGAGAATCATCCCATGCCTCTCCATCCCTTCCCTCTGGGGAGAAGAGGAAGTGAGGGACAGGCACTGGTGCTATCCCAGTCCTTGTGCTCTGGGTGCCTCAGCTCCTCCAGTATCCCATGGCAGGAGGGACTTTCTGCCTTGCTCACAGGATGGAAGCACTGGTGTGGGCAGTGAGTAAGAGGGTCACGCTGGTGACAATGCTTGGAATAAGCCAGAGGTGGGAAGATCATGTGGGACATGTGCTATCACCTGTACACATCCTCTGGGACCACATGGAAGGGGTCCAGATTGGGCAGTGTCACCCTGAATCCTTCGCGCTTCATAGGGGGATGGAGGAAGCTGGTCCCCAAGGACCATGCCCTGGGACCACAGACAGCAATTGGGCTCTTATGCTGGGAGCACTGGGATCTGGATCCACTCAGATCCAGGGACTCCCGACCCACTGGTCCTCACCGTGTCCCACTTGGCTCTGGCCTTCTCCTCCTCGAAACGGGCAAACTCCCGACGGTCGTGGATGGTGATGAGGAGCTTCCAGATGAGCAGAGCAGCGAGGCCGATGAGCAGGATGGCGCCCGTCACTGAGAGCAGGACCACCAGGACATCCGGCCCCTTCGGGCAGTCTGGAGGAGGGAGAAAGGCAGGGTTGGGGAGGCTCAGCTCTGGGGCTGCCTGGCCATAAGAACATGGAGCTGCTGTGGTCTTAGGAGGGCTTCACCCTGCCGTGTTAGAGAGCAGGAGCCTCCCCTCCTTGAGCACAGCAGGTTCTATATAGGAGGATCCCATCCATGGGGTGCACGTGCTGAGATCCTCAAGCTCCTCTCTGGAGTTTGGACTGCAGCCCTGCTGGGGGCTGCTTCCATGGCCCTGCTTTGGAAGGCTATGCAACCCCCAGCTCAGACCTTGAGGTCTCTGGAGACCCCAGGGATGCTCTGCTGTACCCCAGCCCTGGCTAATGGGAGCCAGCTCCTGTCTGCTTCTCAAGTAGCATCACCCCATGGAGCCAGAAGCAGGATGAGGGCAGTGGGAAGGTTGAGCCCCCATCCTTGGCCTCAGTGCAGGGTGTGAAATAGCCAAGAAGAGGTGGGGAAACATGAGACAGAGGCAGGAAATCACACCCTGTGGCATGGAGCAGGGAACAAAGCAGCTCTTTAACCTCCCTCACAGCCCCTGTGCCCATGAACCTGGCTGGGGTGGGAGGTAAAACAGGCACTCAAAAGCATAGATTCAATAGGTTGGAAAAGAACTTTAGGATCAAGCCCAATCTCCCCACTCAGCACAGAAACACAGCACAGCTCCCTCTGCATCCCTCCAGCTGGCTCTTACCGGGCTCCTCGATAACGTAGAGGATGGACTTGCCGCTGGAGTCCTCATAGTACTGGAACCTCACCACGCAGTCATTCTCATCCTTGTAGGTGCAGTTCACGGCATCCTTGCCCCTGTCAACTGCCAGAGCGAGAGATTCAGAGCCCCCCGGGTTAGGGGGGTGCCCATGGGGAGGGAAAGTGGGTGGTGGACGCAGCCTCCCCCCATTCCCACCCTTCAGGACAGGGTCTGGGGCTCTCTCTTACCGAGCTCCTGCACGGTCTCAATCTCATCGCGGCACATGCGGCTGCAGGACTGCTGCTCCACCAGTGTCCCCCGCTCAAACTTCTTGCACTCCACACAATCCCTGAGGGAGAGGAGAGCAGAGAGGTGCCGTGAGCTCCCCCGTGCTCACCACCTTGCATCTCAGGCAGCAGAAATCACTGCAGTCCCAAGCCAGCCAGGCTGCAGGGTGTGAGAGCTCCTGCTGCCACTGCTGCCGGCTCACTGATGGGATACCATGGATGCTTTGGGTTGGAAGGGACCTTAAAGCTCATCCAGCTCCAACCCCTGCCACGGGCAAGGACCCCTTCCACTAGAGCAGCTTGCTCCAAGCCCCTGTGTCCAACCT